TTTTACCCCTGCATGGCCCACCAAAGGGTGAGTCAACTTGGAAGGGCGACATCCTTCTCTAAATTTTACCCTTGCATGACCCACAAAAGGGTGAGTCAAGTTTGAAGGGCCACTTCCTTGTCTAAATTCTACCCCTGCATTGCCCACATAAAGGGGTTTGCTCACTTAAAAAGGGTCGTCAACTTGGAATGGCCACTTCCTCCCCTAATTTTTTCCCTCCAGTGGCTCACCAAAGGGTGAGTTAACCTGGAAGGGCAACTTCCTTCTCTAAATTTTACCCCTGCCTTGCCCACAAAAGGTTGAGTCAACCTGGAAGGGCGACATCCTTCTCTAAATTTTACCCTCGGGTGGCTCACCAAAGGCCGCGTCAACTTGGAAGGGCAACTTCCTTCTCTAAATTTTACCCCTGCATTGCCCACAAAAGGGTGAGTCAATTTGGAGTGACCACTTTCTTCTCTTAATTTTACCCCTGCATTGCCCACCAAAGGGTGCGTCAATTTGGAAGGGCAACATCCTTCTCTAAATTTTACCCCTGCGTGGCCCACAAAAGGGTGAGTCAAGTTGGAAGGGCCACTTCCTACTCTAAATTTTACCCCTGCATTGCCCACACAAAGGGGTGAGTCAAGTTGGAATGGCAACATCCTTCTCTAAATTTCACCCCTGCATTGTCAACATAAAGGGGTGAGTCAAGTTGGAATGGCAACATCCTTCTTGAAATTTTCCCATTGCATTGCCAACATAAAGGGTCAAGTTGGAATGGCAACATCCTTCTCTAGATTTTACCCTCGGGTGGCTCACCAAAGGGTGCGTCAACTTGGAAGGGCAACTCCTTTAACTTTTTTACCCCTGCATTGCCCACACAATGGGCTCAGTCAAGTTGAAATGGCAACATCCCTTTCAAGTCCTTTGCTGTACTCTTAGACCCTTAGCCCTTTTATCTATCTTGGCCGCATGTTAATGGATATATAGTATATACAGATTTTTAGCATTCAGTGCAGCGAGTTGCTGAGACACGTCAGGAAGTGAGCACAATTAGAATATTTCATGTCAAACCGGTGCTTTGGTATCATTTTTTTATGACGACTGCTCTCAAAGTGTTGGCCTTGCGATGATTGCTCAAGACGCACCGCCAGAAAGAGAAAGATCCTCTTTTTGAGACAGCTCATCCGGAATTTTGAACGACAAGCCTGGTATGCGGAAAGGCAATGAAAAAACACTAGAAAAGCAAGCGATGATATGGAGCTTAGCGGGGTGAAGAAGCTTGAGCCGGGATGCCCAGAACAGGCACCAGCACTCATACCACATGGCGGAGTTGCAGTTCAGATGGTTCATATATTTGCAGCTGCCAGCTAGCTAGAACAAAGGACATGTTCTTTCCTTCTATTAATAGAATCGGGTGTGATTTTTCCACGCTTGTGGCGTTCTGTGAGATGGCCGCCACTTGAAAATGCAACCTGCATGTGGAAGCATTGTTTGAGTCCTCTCTTCGTGGTGCAGCACTTTTCACGTTTCCTTTTCACGCTGACCTGCCAGCCCTGCAGCATCCCCCCCTGCAATGGTGGTCCTCCAAAATAGTGCGCGTGCTTGGAGAGGGAGGGTTGGACAGCTTTGCCTGCAAGGTAAACCAACAAACCATCACCTCCATGCAGGTGCTTACTGCAAGCTGGAGTGTTTGCTGCTGGCGTTGTGCACTGCAATATAAGCTTGCATGAACGCTTATCAGAAGTGGCCCATTGGTTTGAGGTGTAGTGGTGGTTGACTTTGAGTGCAACCTGCACTAACTCAAACTCACCAGACCAAGCCATCAACACAAACGCACGATAAGCAATAAAACAAAATAGCAACCCTCTCCCTCTTTTGTTTCGTATGAGTGGGTGCCGAGGGCTTTCCTGGGGGCAGCTTCTCCTCCTCAAGCTTGGCACGACCAAAAACTAGTTGCATTTTTCTTGCCGCAAATACGTAAGGAAATGTCGGAAGGATGTAGTTGCAGCTGTGAGCGAAATCAACGTTTTGGAGCAGGCAGCTTCTTGCCCTTACATAGTCAACTTGCTGGATGTGAGCCGCAGCCCTGAGGGTGACAGCGAGTTGATATATGAACTTGGCGTGTCTCTGCACCAGAGGATTCATGGCGAGGTGGGTGGACTCACCCCCGCAGATGCTCGCCTGATGACGCAGCACCTGAGCAGAGGCAGGTCACAAGACGCGCTGTCATGGTTCTTGCTCAAATAGATAAAACTCAAATTTTCATTTTTGACTTGCCTGGCTGTTGCAGGGCTGTTAGGAACTTTAACTTTTTGCTAGGGTGTTCATGCATCATCTCCAAAGTACAGCCTATAGCTGGTAATAGTGCATGAAGTCAGGGGTTGAGAAGAAGGGTGGACGAGAACACCTTTGCATGGCTTCCCGCAGATTTCTGAAAGTCTCAGACATTTTCCGACGGGCGCTCACTGCCAATCTCCGACTGCGAACACGAAGATGCGCGTCTCAATTCCGAGTCTAGCAAGGTTCAAAACCCTGACTCAGTTCAACAAAATGGGAATGAATCAGATATCAACTCCAGCACTCCACCATAAAAGGATTTCTCTTCTGGCCACCTCTCCATGTCGAGCAACATGAGCAGTTGACAAATTCTTTTCTGCTTGTGTCGTGGCTGCCCCTTGGCAGTAAAGAACATGAAGTTTCTTTCTCAGCCTGGAGGTTGTGGCTTGACACAGGCATCCAAATAGATTGCGTGAAACGTTTTTGCTGCATTTTTGGTCAGCGAAACGCAGAGTGCCCACCTTTTTGACTCCAACAAAGGCGGGCATGCTGTTTTTGTGGTTTGC